AATCTTGTCGAGGTTTGGGCCTGTTTTTAATGGCTTTGGTTCTGGGCTTTGGTTCTGGTTCTTGTCGAGTTCGGCTTTGGCTTTAGTTCTTGTGGAGCTCGGTTTTGGCTTTGATTTTGTTGAGCTCAGTTTGGCTCTAGTTGGGGGCTGTGTTTGGCTTTGGTTTTGTTGAGCTCAGTTTGGCTCTAGTTGGGGGCTGTGTTTGGCTTTGGTTTTGTTGAGCTCAGTTTGGCTCTAGTTGGGGGCTGTGTTTGGCTTTGGTTTTGTTGAGCTCAGTTTGGCTCTAGTTGGGGGCTGTGTTTGGCTTTGGTTTTGTTGAGCTCAGTTTGGCTCTAGTTGGGGGCTGTGTTTGGCTTTGGTTTTGTTGAGCTCAGTTTGGCTCTAGTTGGGGGCTGTGTTTGGCTTTGGTTTTGTTGAGCTCAGTTTGGCTCTAGTTGGGGGCTGTGTTTGGCTTTGGTTTTGTTGAGCTCAGTTTGGCTCTAGTTGGGGGCTGTGTTTGGCTTTGGTTTTGTTGAGCTCAGTTTGGCTCTAGTTGGGGGCTGTGTTTGGCTTTGGTTTTGTTGAGCTCAGTTTGGCTCTAGTTGGGGGCTGTGTTTGGCTTTGGTTTTGTTGAGCTCAGTTTGGCTCTAGTTGGGGGCTGTGTTTGGCTTTGGTTTTGTTGAGCTCAGTTTGGCTCTAGTTGGGGGCTGTGTTTGGCTTTGGTTTTGTTGAGCTCAGTTTGGCTCTAGTTGGGGGCTGTGTTTGGCTTTGGTTTTGTTGAGCTCAGTTTGGCTCTAGTTGGGGGCTGTGTTTGGCTTTGGTTTTGTTGAGCTCAGTTTGGCTCTAGTTGGGGGCTGTGTTTGGCTTTGGTTTTGTTGAGCTCAGTTTGGCTCTAGTTGGGGGCTGTGTTTGGCTTTGGTTTTGTTGAGCTCAGTTTGGCTCTAGTTGGGGGCTGTGTTTGGCTTTGGTTTTGTTGAGCTCAGTTTGGCTCTAGTTGGGGGCTGTGTTTGGCTTTGGTTTTGTTGAGCTCAGTTTGGCTCTAGTTGGGGGCTGTGTTTGGCTTTGGTTTTGTTGAGCTCAGTTTGGCTCTAGTTGGGGGCTGTGTTTGGCTTTGGTTTTGTTGAGCTCAGTTTGGCTCTAGTTGGGGGCTGTGTTTGGCTTTGGTTTTGTTGAGCTCAGTTTGGCTCTAGTTGGGGGCTGTGTTTGGCTTTGGTTTTGTTGAGCTCAGTTTGGCTCTAGTTGGGGGCTGTGTTTGGCTTTGGTTTTGTTGAGCTCAGTTTGGCTCTAGTTGGGGGCTGTGTTTGGCTTTGGTTTTGTTGAGCTCAGTTTGGCTCTAGTTGGGGGCTGTGTTTGGCTTTGGTTTTGTTGAGCTCAGTTTGGCTCTAGTTGGGGGCTGTGTTTGGCTTTGGTTTTGTTGAGCTCAGTTTGGCTCTAGTTGGGGGCTGTGTTTGGCTTTGGTTTTGTTGAGCTCAGTTTGGCTCTAGTTGGGGGCTGTGTTTGGCTTTGGTTTTGTTGAGCTCAGTTTGGCTCTAGTTGGGGGCTGTGTTTGGCTTTGGTTTTGTTGAGCTCAGTTTGGCTCTAGTTGGGGGCTGTGTTTGGCTTTGGTTTTGTTGAGCTCAGTTTGGCTCTAGTTGGGGGCTGTGTTTGGCTTTGGTTTTGTTGAGCTCAGTTTGGCTCTAGTTGGGGGCTGTGTTTGGCTTTGGTTTTGTTGAGCTCAGTTTGGCTCTAGTTGGGGGCTGTGTTTGGCTTTGGTTTTGTTGAGCTCAGTTTGGCTCTAGTTGGGGGCTGTGTTTGGCTTTGGTTTTGTTGAGCTCAGTTTGGCTCTAGTTGGGGGCTGTGTTTGGCTTTGGTTTTGTTGAGCTCAGTTTGGCTCTAGTTGGGGGCTGTGTTTGGCTTTGGTTTTGTTGAGCTCAGTTTGGCTCT